TGCTGCTAAAGTCAGCAGTTTTCTTAAAGGCAGAAAGTAAAGCCTGTTTTTTAAAATATGTATGTGTGTTTTTTAAATTGATTTTTAGAGAGAGAAGAAGGGAGAGGGAGAAGAAAAAGAGAAACATCAATGAAAGAGAAACAGATTGGCTGCCTCCTGCACACCCGCTACTGAGGATTGAGCCCGCAATCCGGGCATGTGCCCTGACTGGGAATTGAACCAATGACCTCTTGGTACATGGATCGATGCTCAACCACTGAGCCACACTGACCAGGCTACATGTTTAATTAGAAATTATAATTATAAATGATTGCAGATAAATCAAAATATTCCCACTTACAAAGCAATGGTTCTGGCCTGACCGGTGTGGCTCAGTGGTTGAACATAAACCAATGAAAGAGAAGGTCATGGTTTGATTCCCAGCCAGGGCACATGCCCGGGTTGCAGGCTCAATCCCCAATAGGGAGCATGAAGGAGGCAGTTGATTGATGATTCTCTCTCATCACTGATGTTTCTACCTCTCCCTTCTTCTCCCTTCCTCTCTGAAATAAGTTTTAAAAAATTAAAAAAACAAAACAAAAACTAAGCAATTGTTCTGTAATTTTAAAATAATAATGAACTTTCTTTACATAACTATTTTTAACTATTGAAATTAACGTCAGGTAACTTTTCCTTGTATATTTTAATCAACTGCTGTATCCCTCAATTCACATTCATGCTTGAGTATATTTACTGGCAGATTAAAACCAGTTTATAAAGATAGGGTTAGCCTGGCTGGTATTGCTCAATGGTTGAGCATCGATCCAAGCACTGAGAGGTCATAGGTTCAATTCCTGGGCAGGGCACATGCCTCCATTGCGGACTCAATCCCTAGTAGGGGATGTGCATGAGGCAGCTAATATATGTGTCTCTCATCAATGTTTCTATCTCTCTCCCTCTCCCTTTCTCATATTTTTTTAAAAGGTAGGGTTAATTTTTAAAATAATTTTGAATTATTTTCGGGATCAAATTACTTTTTTTCTACTAAATTCAACTGAAAAATGTAAAGTCCATATTAAAATTAGACAAGGTGATTTCACATCACATATTTCCCTCTAGCAAGTTCCAAGTATTGTAAACATAGGCATCTGTGCTCCAGAACTATCCTCAGTGTCTTGCATTCTTCTCCCTACCAAGCATCCCTCAACCTCAAGTCAGGTGAACAGATTGATGGATTAAAGTAATTCACAGCTGTAACCGGTTTGGCTCAGTGGATAGAGCATTGGCCTGTGGACTGAAGGGTCCCGGGTTCGATTCTGGTCAGGGGCATGTACTTTGGTTGCGGGCACATCCCCAGTAGGAGGTGTGAGGAGGTGGCTGATCTGTTTCTCTCTCATCGATGTTTCTAACTCTCTATCTCTCTGCCTTCCTCTCTGTAAAAAATCAATAAAATATATATTTAGGAAAAAAAAAAGTAACTCACAGTAAAGAGGGAATGATTCAGCAAAGTATGGGATTTTAAAAGCACAATGTAGTAAAGAGGAAGGGAAGGAAACAATTTGCTGTGCAACTACTAAATATGGTTTATACATGTATCTTTTCTATTATTCAAGAAAGACATTAAGCCAGGCTTCACTTTCAGCATTTTATAGATGGAGAAACAAAACGATTTCCCCAGTCACAGAATTAGTCAGTGGCACAGTGCTAAAATTCTATGGCAGACTAGTGTGACTCTAAAGTCAGTGCTCTGTAACTCACACCTCTCTGTCTCTAACTGAAAAAAAATCAGAACAGCCTGGACTGTCTCAGTCTGTCCCAAGTCAGAGCAGGGTGAACAACTTGGTATCCCACCATTGCTTCCCCTTTTCTGGGATTCTTTAATCAGCTTTTTAACACAGTCATTATCTACACTAATAAAAGAGAAACATGGTAATTGGCGTACGACTGCTACCCTTCCCATTGGCTAATCAGCGAGATATGCAAATTAACTGACAGCCAAGATGGCGGCCGGCAGCCAGGCAGCTTGAAACTA